GGTATTGCAGGAGAAACTTTTCTTGAAGGATTACTAACAAATGGGTGGCTTTTGAAGTTGGTTTTTATAAGTGGTCAGTTGGAGGATTCCATAGCAACATGGACGTTCAATCTCAGTAAGTGAGAGTTTCTTCTGAAGAGATCAGGTTGCAGTGCTATTTACATTGAATTTAACAATTTTCAGTTCCCTTATGCAGTGTTGTATTCATCAAAGGATGTGCTGAGAAGAAGTGCATGTGACTTATGGTGTAGCATCCTTCTGCACAAAAACAAGGTTGCTTCTTTTCTGTTTCATGGCGCACTAGTCAAGTTTTCTACATGCAGACAAACATGACTGTCTTTCTTTTGTCTGGAACTGTATTAAATGTCTTCGTTATTAATCAGCCGGACCATTCGAGTATCAAGTTGGTACGGGTACCTAGCCATTCTGAACTAAAAAAAGCGCTTGAAGTATATGGCTTTCAATTGGATTCTTCTTCGAAGTCATCGTCTGATGTTGAGATGGTTCCTGCAGGTTGAAAATCTACATCTTCAATGCTTTAGTTCTAGAAATTGTATTCGCATATCTTCTGTTTTAAGTGGGTAATCCTCTTGAGAGAATGTATAATTACCTTTACTGAAATAATACTATAGGGAGCTTATTAAAACCATGGAATTCAGAGTATGGTAAAGTACCTGTGGCGTGGGGAAAAACCCCTTTAATGGGTGTCACAACTTTCTACTGTATGGCCTGTCAAACAAAGCTTGCCTTTGGCGTTTAATTTTCTCCTTCCAAAACATGCTTCAGATACACTGAAAACTGGTGCTTTTCAGGACACTGCTCTGACCTTACCAGTTGTTGTGGCCATGTGTAGTCTCAACAGTGTAGAATAAGAAACTTGTCTAAAGACAGTTCTTTTGAAATGATTTCCCTTGTGAGAGAAGGGGAAAAAAATGAAAAGAGACACCAAGAGCACAAGGATGCTAAGGACCATAGATATGGGGAATACTAATTTAGCCACATATTGAAATTTATCCTGCATTTTCCTTATCAATTTCAGTCTTTAAGTTCATGCTTGTCTTGTTAAAGTGAATAAAAATAAATAAACAAAAGTAAAAATTCCAGGCTAAGCTATTCTGTGGATTTTATGCTAGTGTTAAATGCTTAACTGAAAAACAGATTTTAGGTCATAGGGTTGTTTTTCTTTGATTTCATTCAACAAGGTAGTAACTTAAGAATTTGTAACCTTTTTTGTTTGCATTCTTTTCGATTCTTTTCAGATTCTGATTGTCCAGGACCGCCTCAGAATATTCAATACTGGATTAAATATGTTAGAGTTTGCTTCCAAGTAAGGTATGACCTAACTGAATTTTTCGCTGCTTCTAATGTTTCAGCTATATAGAGAATCCTCATATTAAGTACTGCAAATCTTCTACTGGTTTGACTGTACTTATCTTTTGTAGGAACACATGGCAAATCTTATCTTCATCAGAGGCAGAGGATTTGACATATATAATTATCACTATGTGTCTAGATCGCGTAATGTTGGGCCTCTCCGTGGTTCTACATGAGTGTCTGGTTGCAGCTATTAGTTACTTCAAAGATGATGAATGGCAAGCAAGCTGTCACCAAATAGCAAAATGCCTTGCATTAAGGTTTTCTAGATGCTTATAATGTTTTAGTCCCTTCTGCATTAATTTAGAGAATTAGTATGTCTGCTTTATCTGGTGCCTTTCCTTGTCATTTGTCTCTCTTTGGTTATCATATAGGAATTTTAGAAACTGTACTTGGAATTATCCTTAATAATGGGCATAGACGAAACAAAAATGAGAGATTTAAAGGTGCATAAGTATTGTTCCTGACTTGGTTGAGTTTGATATGGTAAATCAAGAGGATATTCCCATCCATGTTTCATTATGAGACAGAAGGCCAAAAGTTTTGTATCCGACAAGCGTTGTCAGTGTGACAACTAATTGCTCATATCATGAGACAGAAGGCCAAAAGTCTCGTATGTGACAAGTGTTAATTACTCATATCAAGTATGGGAACTTTCTGCTTGTGGATAGGTTTGTGAAGTTATGGATAATGCATTTAGTATGAGCTTCCAAGAATGCTACTTCCCTGTCCCAGATTATTTGAGCATTATAAATTTGCACATATTTTAAGATGTATCATTTCTATAATCATGAGACATGTCACAATACACCAAAGTTACCTTCAATTTACATTTTGTGATTAATTGTCCAGAGGACTAATGCATTCTCAAAAAGGGAATGTTGTTTATGAGTCTATGACTTAAAATTCTAGGTTATCTTTATTTGTATCCCACATCCAAGTCTGATACCTACCAATCGGTTCATGAGATTGTACATAAGACACGTAATGATCAAGTGGACATTTTCTGGAGAGAGTGAAGTGGATGGAGGTTAACATTGGGCAGAGAAAGTGCATGAGAATGTTGGAATTGCTCTTTCTTATGCTTTTAGATGATCTGCTAAGCAAAATTATCTGCTATGTTTAAAGCCATTGTCAGCCTTCTTCTTCATCCTTTTGTTTTCCTTCACCAAGTTTTTGCTGCAGATAATTTGCTGATCTTTTCTTACTATGGATTTTGTTTAATGAAGACTGCCTACAGATGTAAATTGCCTGAGAATTGTAGACAGTATCTCAGCAATTGATGGGCGTAGTAAGCACCTCAGAAGTGCTGTGGCTTTCCAATTTCTTGTGAAATGCTTTGATGCTAAGGTACAACTTGATGTCGGTATCACTGTTATATCAATTGATGGTCTGCAACCATTTGTACTTTTGTGCACAATGTGTGTGTGTTATCATAGAAGATACATTTCTTGGCTGATTGTTGGACATAAGCTGCCCTTTTTAGACTTTTCTCCTACTTTACTTCAGAATAATTTTATTTCCTAGTAACTCACTATATGTGAGCACCTAACCTTGCTGAAGCATTCATTAGCTTTGACAGAAGACATCAGATTCTGACACTAAGACAGATTTTAGAACCTAGCCTTTTTGACCTGATCACTATACGACTAAAATTAATGTGACAAAATCTGAAAGCTGCTAAACTTAATAAGTATTATGTTGCTTGACTCTACCCAGATTGGTGGAAAGTATGTTCTAGAACTGTCAATCTTTAGAAGATTAACTGATTCTTTTCTAGTGCTTTATGCTTTGCTTAGCTAATTTACCTTTTGCGGTCACGTTCTTGCTACCTTGATGTAGTTTGAATCAAGTTGTTTATACCATTGGTTGTCCAGTAGCAAGATAGTAATATGTCTATAATATTAGTTTGCAGTATGTGGTTTCTAGCTAATAGGCTGTTTAACTTGATGACTGCTTGCTGGTGTTCCTATTTGCTGCCCTGTGGTTTATCAACCAATTGTCCTGAATTTCTGCTGCTTTTCATCTTGTTACTCCATTAAAGGTACTTGATGCAGAAGAGATCTTGAGGTTGCTGATCTCAATTAATGTGAGAGACAACAAATGTAACCTTTTCAAGATGTATATAGGCTTGAGTTTGGCAGAAAATTGGCTTTTATTCGATCCCCTGTTGAACGACAAACCGATCCTACGTGAAATGTGGGGTCTCTGTTTACGTAACTGTTCTTGTCAAATTACCAGTACGGATCTGAGGCCCTTTGCTTCAAAGGTAAGAACTTGATGTTCTCTCTCATTTCTTAATAAATTTATAAGTAGTACTGAAAATATATTGATATTGCAGGTCCGGTGTAAAGCTACATATCTTCTTCAAGGAACTTCAAGTAGATGATTAAGGTAGACCTTCCTTGAGCCGCTAGGTATTGTTCTGGGAACTCTTCTCATCTGCTTTACTTAATACAGCCAGAATAAGAACATCTGGCGTATAATTTGTCTTTATTCAGTGACGAGTCCAAGGCTGTTCTAACTCGCGAAGCAGCCAACAGGGGATTTGGCTTGTTTAGTTCAGACGATACTCAGCTGTGACTCCTTCCAGCACTAGAGTAACTCAAAGCCAAGTAATACCATTTTCGTTGTCATCATGGTTATTTTGGACACTTAACTGTTTCCTATGGATCGGTGCTTGAAGAGTGTTTATGGAAGGCAAAGCTAGCTGCCCTTTTGGATGTCCGGTGAAGTATGATGATGTCCCAGCCATTTTGCCTGTAAGCAAGTCTTTTTTGTGTAAATGTTGGCGATATCAGACCTGGAGATTAACAAACTGTGTCTCGGGGTGACTGGGCAGAAGTAGTCCTGTGAACTTGCTAGATTTTTTGCTTCACTGTTCTCGTAATCTTCTGAACTATACATGTCGGGTGATTGTCAACAATTTTTGGGCGAGATGTTGAAGAATGAATGATGTACAGTGCAAATCAAGAATGAAGTCAATATTTTCTTTTACTAGCTTGGCGTGTTTTGTTTTCACATTAGTTCTGCAATGTTAAATGAAGATTAAGATGGGCATTTGCCTTGTGCCATCATCGAGTTACAATTGATAATCCTGAATTGTAAATCTATCTTTTATTGATGCTAAAATTAAAACAAAAAAAAAATCATTTTCGTAAAATCTATGGAAGTGTAAAATATGTAAGTGTAAAATATGTAAATAGTTATAGACCAACTATGGAAGTGTAAAATATGTAAATCTATCTTTTTTCGTAATAAATAACATTCAAATCATTAGGATCAGTTTAGTTGCAAATCATTTTTAGGATTTTGCACACCTTTCAAAGCCAATCTTAACAAAGTAGTGTAAAATTTTTAGAACTCCTTTCTTCAATTTTAAAGTTTGAAAAACGGGTTAACATAGGCTCAGGGTTCGGAGAAAGCGCTCTGGCAAGTAGCAACTTTTAAAAGTAAGAGGCTCGGATCCGTGCCAACCACCCTTTAGCTTCGGACAGCCGTTGGCGATCCGAACCTCCGCTCACTTTCCCAAAACTGTGCCTTTTCAATTTTTTTGTCAGTGCTTGCTACAGTACTGTATTGCATCTTTGGCGCTTTCTCAATCTTTTTCTTTTGCTCCCCTTTAATTTCAATTCTCTCGTATCATTTTGTCTACTGATTCCTTCTGTTTCAGAGGGAACGATTAAATCTTTGGTAGGAAAGTTAAAGGGAAATTCTTGCTTCATACTTCTTTACAGACAAGTGTGTTCAAGAATTCTCCCTTCTGATTCTATTTCTATAGAAAAAAAACTTTATCAATCTATATATATATACATACACCACATTCATTCATTGATTTGGTAATTTTATTACACAATCAGAAATCCCAGAATACCATTTTTCTTATTTCTTGTCCCTTTTTTATTTTTACTTCTGGGGCTCCGGGTGATTTGAAAATAAACTTTAATCTTAAACATTTTATGATTTCTGTTCCAAAAATTTTCTGGGTTTTAAATCTTGAACTTGTCTGTTGAACACAAACTTGATTTTCACAAAATTGAAGTTTTGGTGTAATTTAAGGTTTAAGGTCACTTCGAGGTTTTATTTGGTACACAATGAAAGGGGATAGAATGGCAAAGAGGTCTTCTTTTGGGAGCGTCGTCAGGAGAAGATTGTCAGATATTACCAATTCTGCTCCACAGCCTAGATCTCCAAGCAATGTAGAAAAGCCCTCCTTGGATCCTTCTTCTAAGGAATATATTGATCATCTTGCCAAGGTAAAGTTTTTCTTGGTCATATTTACTTCTGCTGGTGTTCGTTGTACTTGGTTATTATTTTTTATAATTTGTTTGTATTTGGATGTTTGGAACAGGAAAATATGGCACTGGTCAAGCTTATTCAAGATAAAAAGTACGCTTTAATTGTTGTTTTTGTGTTGTGATAAAAAGTATGCTCGGCAGTTTCCCTAGAACTTATTTCTGGAATCTAATTACAGTAAGGTGATTGAATTGAATGGAATTGAGCTCCAAAAACTCAGAATCAATCTTCAGAAGATGCAAATGCAGAATTGGAATCTTGCTCAAGCCAATAGTGTTATGATAGCGGTTAGTTTCTTTTCCATCAGTTCTAAAGTTAGTCCTTTTAATACTCTACAAGAAAATTTTGCCATTGTCCTCTATAACGTGTCTAATCTTCTGATTGTGCAGGAACTTAATTTCGGGAAAGAAAAGGTTAGCTCTTCTTATTGCAATAGTAGTTAACGAATTCTGCTCATTTCTTGAAGGAGTGGTCTTAGAAAATTTATCTTGTTCCAGATGATGACCCTACAGCACGAGATTTCCTGCAAGGAGGCACTTCTTAAATCAAGGAGTTTGGAAATCAAGGCAAGTTTTTTTCAATCAGAAGGGATTCCTTTAGTTTCAGTAGAATCTTTGGTTTCAGATGTTCACTGATCGGTACATGAATAAGCATTTCCCCTCCGAAGCTGGATATTGCACAGCGAAGCTAGATTTTCTCCTTTTTCAAGAGAAATTGTGTGACTTTTTCAGCTCATATTTGAAGTTTCACAATGACTAAGAGAATCTCAACACAGCTTAAAATATCTTTTGCATTAATTAGAAGATCAGAGCTTAGCAATTTTATCACGAGAAAGGCATATGGTAGGAGGCCATAATTTAGCGTATCTGGTGTCTGATCTAATAATGCATTTGAAGACCATACTTAGCATTCTTATGGAATTATTTTTGCTAATTCACATGCCTATATTATGGACGAGTGACAATTGGGAGAGCTTCAAGTAGGACACTTGAAGGTGCATCTAAAAGTTAAAACAAATTTGTGATTGCATTTTCTCAGACGTTCATGGAAGAGATTTTCCATTATCTCTCGTGTTCATGCTTTTGAAGGACGTAACCGAGTGGAAAAGTTGGACTTTACTGTTTAAACTTGATCAAAATAACAATTATGTGTTGTCATAGCTGAGTTTGATCTATGTATTACTCTGAAATTAAATTGAGAACGATTAAAGGCAGGAAGATAATAGGGTTCGTAACTACCATTTTCACCAATCAGTAAGTCATTGTAGTAATCAGTTTATGTCACTTGCTGGCTTCAGGAGAGAGAGCTGACTCCTGCAGAAGAAACCAAACATGATAATAGCAAGAACAGAAGGCCCCGCTTCACAAGAAGTAGATGTAAGTGCCTAATACATATGATTTTGTTGCCTGCTTATGTATGCATTTTAGTTATTCAAGTTTGTGACTTGTCTGTGCTTTTGCAGCCGTAGGCCATTGTACAACTGTATCCCATCAAGTTGCAGCAAAGGAGGCAGCAGAAAACAAGAGGTTCAAGTCCTCGCCCTGTATGATTATGCATTTGTGACTGAAAAATCACATCTTGAAAGTTCTAGGCAGATAAGCTGTGGGGTGAAATTATCCCTAAGCTTCCAGCTCTCCTTAGAATCCGTACCCCTGTGGCCATCTGTTGCATTTTAACGATCATTTCAATATCTTATCTAAACAGTTATCAGCCTTTGCACATAAGAAGATGGCTTTTTCTAATCTCTATTCTACATTCTTGCTGCAGGCTCTGTTTAAGGAGGCAGTCAGCTAGTTCCAAAATGCAACAGCAGGAAAACAAAGAAAACTTGTTCGAACTAGAGGACGTGATGCTGCCAACTGCTGGCGTACCGACTGATTTTGGACCAGCTTCATCACCTTTTACTTACAAAGACTGTAAAGATGATAAGCAACATGGTGCTGAACTTAAATCTAGACGACCAGAAAGAACCTCAATTGGTGGAAGACCATTAAGAAAGGCAGCTGAGAAGGTTCAATCCTATAAAGAAGTCCCTTTAAATAGTAAAATGAGGAGAGCAAATTGAGCTGTATGAAATTTGAAAATCAGAGTCTTGTGCTATATATATTTAGCCTGCAGATTTGCTCTTCTGCACTCATAGATTATGGTTATGTCAATTTGGTTTTGATTTTGTGTAATGTGTGTGTGTATACTTCATGTCACCATCTATAACAGTACAGCAACTCTTCATTGTCCCTCGTCTTTTTCTTTTTCTTTTTTTTCCTAAGATGAAAAAACCCTCATTCTCCATCATTTTTAATTGTGTAGTTGTAATACATACATACATACATACATATATTGAAAAGGGGGTAAATTTAGTTAGATAATTCTTTTTTCTTTTTCTTTTTAGTTGGTGGGGGGTGGAGATGGGGTTGCAGAAAATTATAGGCTGGATAGAAAGCAACATGGTTAATGTGACATTTTAATAGGCTTACTATTTAAGGTTCTTGCTTGCTGCATGTGAATTGGCTTGGGCTGATAATGGTACATTGTACTTGCCAAGAGTAAGTGTTTGGACTGAACCTTGTAGCCCAATGCAACTATCTGTCAAAAATAAGATTGGACAAGATAGCAGCAAAGGCTGCAGCGTTGGGCACCTGTCCTGGAATGCAACAATAATTACATGACCGTTGGCTCCGTTTAAGTATTGCCATAGAACCACTGAATTCATGGCCGGCCGCCACAAAAAAGGGACTAAATCTCTCCTTTTAACTATAAATTGAGGGGTTCGAACTTCACTTATAATAAAAAAAATAATTTAAAGGAGATATTAAAGTATTCTTTTAATTTAATCAAATTTTTATACACAATTTTTTTTAGATTTTTTTTCTTTAAATTAAGACAGATTAGATTATAAAAATATTATCGATGCCATAAAATAAATAAGTATGCCGTAGCTTTCTGGTCAAAACAGGAAAAAGCTGATATGATGAGTGATGACCCTAGTCGCAGATCCCAAAACACTGTCCACTTGAACATGCATATAATTTTTGCCGGCTACACGAACGTGCAGGTTGTAAGACGGGGGAATGATGGTTAGGCAAGTGTGTTTTTTTGGTTAGAGGAGCTCTGCTGGTTAGACGACTGAGAGCGTACGTGAACGTGCTGGAGCTCTATTGGCAAAAAAAAATTTGAATAGCACCGCAAATGTGTTCTTGTATTATTTTTTTATTTCATATACATTATATTATAAAAATCTTATGCTATTTTTTTAAAATATTATTTCAAATAATTTTCTATCCAAATACACTAGACTATTTTATCTGCATCATATTCAATCACCTTTTAATTATTTTACATGTATCGCATCACAGAATGTGCTATAATGTTAGCCTAAATAATTTTTCAAGTAATCTTCCATCCCATTTAAGAATATTTAAATGTACAATTTATATTCCAATTACTTCACTGCAATGTACTAAAATGAACCCCTCCCCCCTCCCCAAAAAAAAAAAAAAAAAGAATAAAAGGGAGGATGAAATGCTTTATATTCCAATTACAAATCACCTTCTGCAATTAATCACTTCAAGAAAAATCTCAAACACTTCCCCTCCTCTTTTGCTTCAAAAGGGAGGATGAAATGCTTTAGTCTTCTCATAAAATTCAAATGTTAATTGCTTTCACCTATTAAGCCAAGTGCCCCCAATCTTGTTTATGCTTCTTGAACACCAAATTCCACAGGACTAGTACTCAATTAGTTATAAACCCTTGTCAAGATTCCAGTTTCTGAATGCAACTTACTTCTGGAAAACCGAATTCCACATGACTGGGAACTCAATTAGTTATACACCCTCGTCAAGATTCAAGCTGATTGCAGATCTCCTGCCATAGAATGGGAAACAGTGACTTTTCATACCTCTCATTGGTAGGGACAAAAAGTAATATTAGTCCATCATTATACCACTCCAATACCACATCGAGACAAGAAAACGCGTTATATCATTTCTTGGGTCATCCACGTGTTTTTACTTTTCCTTTTTTTTTAATGCTTTTGCTTTTGGGTACATATACATCATGATTTTTAGATTTTTGGCAAAAAAAAAAAAAAAAAACATTCTTGAATAGTCATTACATTTTATATTGAAATATGCTCATATAGAGACAGAAATGTCCATTATATATAAACTTATAAAATCGCATAGTCAATATGTACAATTATAATTCTCTATTCTCATTAAGTTCTAAACTGTTGATTTAACTTTTTTATTTAGACCAAAAAAGTCGATCTGGAGCGATTATTAAGTATGTCTAGTAGTTGAATCCAAAAATTCACTTGGACACACGAGCATTCCACTTGATTTTATTTAACGTGTCAAGTGGACTCCACTTAGCATGTAAATATGCAAATGGAATCCTTTTATATCCACAAGAAGCTTCTCTGTTGATCCTGGACTAACTACTAGTAGTTGTTTCGAGAACCGATATAAAATTTCTAGTTTAGTTTAGTTTTTGGAGTACAATTAACATTTTTTTAAGAATAATGTAGCACATAGTAGCACCGTACAAGAAATAGTAGTGTTTTCTCGTGAATATGATGTATTTAGTGGAGTTCTTATTGGAGTTTAGTGTAGATTTCAACTGCGTTTTCCCGTGGAAACGCGATGTCTTCTTCCTCTTGACAACATATGCACAAGCAGGTCAAGTAAATACTCGGTCTCCAGCTGTAACATGTGCCATTTTCTAGAACACATTCAGACCAAGTAATAACCTGAGGGATAATGCTCCCACCGTATAAGCAACAGTCTTGGAAGTCCGTCTTTCTTTTTCTTTTTTTCCGCCTTCTTTCCTTTGCCCAGATATAGATCAAATTATACATGTAACAGCTGGAAAGTGCTAAAGCCAGATTTTAAAATGAATCAACAGATTATATGGGAAAACTGGAACAGCAAATAAAAGGATCCGAGTATTGCAGCGCATCTCTATCTTTGATAGCAATAGAAGAAAGTTTACAGCAGATAGGAGGGTCTGCAACTTGAAAACCAGAACTGTCACCTCTCGAATTTTGGGTATCAGTATTGGAAGGATGGGAAACCAGCATTAGAATGATGACAAACTTAATACCAAAATGGCAAAATCCTAAATGTGTGTGTGTGTGCGCGCGTGTGAGAGAGAGAGAGAGGGAATCCCCACCAAACAAACACACACCACCACAAAAAAAAAAAAGTTGCAAGACACGGATATGATTGTGAAATAAATACAGGGTTTTTATCTAAAGATGCATGCAATCAAAAGTATCTGGACAGGTTTTAACATTATTTTGGTAGCTGTGACTCATAAATCATAATTCAAGAAATTAAATGGGTTTTAAATGACATGTGCCATCGGTTATATTACTCGCACTGTGAATATTACTTAGATCAGTGAAACCAGTGCATCAAATTTGACAATAACACAAGTTTGCAGAGGGCACGACTTACTTTTGTGGATGCCCAGACATGCACAATAGGCATCATTTCTATAAATGAACTAAAATATCCAACTAATTGCTTTCATTATTGCTCATCATCATCGCGGTTACTTTGATTGTGTTTCTGAGCTCTATACATATCTGCTACCTGCAATCCAACAACAATTCAGAAAGAGGCCCAGGCAACATTTCATTAATGTGCGAAAGATTATCAGTGAATTAATAAAGAACCAGTAATCAAAAGATTTTTCTTTACCATATCAGCAGAAGAGGCATCCTCTGGATTCTTATCTTCTCGAACCCGTAGTAAACGTGGAAACCGAAGAGAAATTCCCTTTGGAAAATTAAAATTAACAAGGTGAAGGGATATCAGATTTGAATCACAGGAACAAAATTTTTCATTGTCTAAGAATAACTCACGATCTACATAACAATAATCTCAACACCCGGTTTACCACTAGTTTGGTATGTCAGAGGAAAAAAAAGTGTCACGATGTGGCATGAAGTTCAACAGCCATATACACTTTCCTTTGGGGCACGACGAGGGGCAGCACTCCCTCCAAAATTGAATGAAGTCTAAAGATTTTACCATGTACATAATTTATTTTCAAAGTAGTCCTTTTTGACAAAAGGGTTTGCCCCTTCTAATGTTTTAAAAATCTTATAGCACTTAACAGAGCACCGCAGCCCCCCCACCCCCCCAACAACAAAAAAAACACCCAGCGGCTAACAAAAAGTCTTGGTTTTGCCAATGCTTGCAAAAAAGGATAGAATGATAGAAAAAGGGAGGAGAAAATGACCAGTAAAATTAATCTTAAGAGCTTAATCAAAGTATGATGGATTCACTGCCAGGAAGTTCAGATGTATTCTTTAACTTAATTGTACACGCTTGGAAGTAAACAAATACCTTGTCTGAATCCACAATACCAGTAGCAGCACGATGAACAGGACTGATAGTCAGATCAGCAGCTTTTACCTCCCAAACCTGAAGGAGTATGACTCAAAAGATCACTGTATGAGGCAGAACAATAATCTGCATAAAAAAGGAGCATGCTAGAAGAAAGTCTATATTCACAAGGAACGGGATTCCCACATGTACAACACGAAGAATGCTAATAAAGCATCCAACTTAAGTCTAAAAAAATGGATGTATCAAACAAAACCCATAGAGCAAGAAAACTTCGCTCCCAACATTTCTTCCTGAGTACAGAAACAATCTGGAAAAGAATATCACAAAACATTGGCATAGAATTATTGCCTAATTCATTATGATCAATGAGAATCTCACAAAAGAATAGACATTGAAAGATTATGTGAGCCAGCTGGCACTGATGTAAAAAGCAGAGTAATGAAAAAAAGGAAGAAAATGACAAACAATGAACAGAAAAGGAAGCAGAGGATAACTTTTACTACCTCAATAGGTTCAAACCATACATCTGGATTGATTGTATCTGAGTACCGGTAATAAGACTGGGATATCATTTAAATCCAGAAGCATGTCAGAATCCATATAAGGTTTACAGAAATACAAAATTCTTCCTATTCAATGAGGAAGTAAATGAAATACCTTTGGCTTCGGAATAACTTTAGAGCGCAAGCTGGCAGAGCGCTCTTCAAGCACAGCTTCAGAAAATCCAGTGCCTAAGCACAACCAAGAAGTTTCTTATCACTTGATGTCAAGGGATGTATGTATTTAGAGTTTAGACAAAGTAATTGAAGTTTCCTATCAAGGTAAATTTCACAGTGAACCATTAAGTAGGCACATTACCAATTTTACATATGCTCTGGAATTCTTCGTTGTTGACATCATAACAAGCAAGGAGAAAGGCTCCATAAACACCTAAAAATGGTTCAACAAAGTTATGAAACCAACTTCCAATAAATGCAGCAATACAAACCCAATTAAAAAGCAAAAGAGTATACACTGGTAACTATATCTGAAGCTAGGGTGAAGAATGTCAAGCATAGTGACACAAATCTGAATCTGAGCCAAAATAAGCGAATAATCACTTAGTGTCCTCTCAAAAATATGATATGTCAAATTACCAGTACGTTTTCCCCGGCCATGGAAAGCAGCAATGGGAACCAAATCCAGTGAGTCACCCGTACTGCAGATCATATAAGGTGAAAAGTAAGTTGCTCAAGCCCAAAAGGAATAGCCAGTGCTGTGAGTTCAATGCACATACCTATCCATGTAATCCTTTTTCAACTTCAGCCAGTTATTTGACCGCTTGGAAGGCTCATACGTGGCATCTTTCTTCAATGTCTTAATTATCAACCCCTCACAACTGCAAAGATGGATAGACAAAATAACAAACAGTACTTGTAGAATCTGTAGAAACATTTTTGTTGATTCTGCAGAAAGAAGCTCCAAGCTAGGAGCCCTCAGGTGAAGCTAAGCACATCTCAACTTTGAAGCCAGAAAAAAGGGAGAAACTACTACTTCTTAGACAAATAATATTACATTTCACCATCTATTACATGCAGGGAAAAAAAGGGAAAAAGAACTCCTTACACCACAGCACATTAGGAACATATAACAAGAAAAAATGACAGATGTACAGAGAAAAAACTGAATTAAATTATCTAACTAGTTGACTTTTCTAACCGGCCAAAATTCTAGTGCACTAGAAGCCATAAGGTTGGATGATCTTATATTGCACTAGGCAAGCATAAGATCATCGAATACAACAGGTTTGACCTAACAGAGAGAAACTTACAAAACTTTGTCCACAGGCAAAAGTTGACAGATATAATAATTACGATTCCGCCAAGTGCAGAAGTCAAAGATTAAAAAAGAAAAATTCTAACAGTAAATAAAGTAGATTAAGCCAATTAGTAACAATACAATAAGGCCAAGACAGGAAAATGATCTTGAACTCTGCAAAGACGAGTTACCTGGCATCAACAGCAGCTTCAAGGAACTTCTGTATTTCCTCAAGATCATTTGATGTTACTGCTGTAGCAAATTGAAAAAAGCCAGGTTCTTCCTCAAATGACTCGTAAAGATGCTGCATAAAACCAGTCATAAAGAGTAAAGGAAAATAACATGACTACTAAAAGGTCGACAATCAGCATTAAAGATAATAGCCTGAGACATGTTTACTGAGCAAGCACTGTCATTTGGATTCTTTTTAGTTTATTTTATCATGGGAAAAGGAGAGGAGGAGAGTCACAAGACGTTCTTTATGCGATACTCAAAACATTTTGGTCAAACCATTTTAGTAATTTGACTTAAAAAAAATCCAAGAGTCTTTTGCTCAACGCTAAAAGCAGATAAAGATATTAACATCATTGAACAAAAATTAGCATACCTGCCTTCGACTGTCAAGCTGTGCTTGTAGGAGAGGTTGGCCATTGATATACAAGATATCAAAAGCATATATGCAAACACCAACCTTTATTTCACTCAAGACCACATTTTTACGAGCCCGTGTGCTGAGGACCTGCCACCAATTCATACTTTTAAGTCTGAATTTGTAATACCATTCTTACAACTCTAGCATTTCATCAAGTAACAATTCATGTGTAACACTCTTTCCAGCAAAATGAAAAGCTGAACACCAGAAGAAGCTGGCTCCTAAATGACAAGAAATATACTTAGAAGGATAAAGTGTAGAGACAACAAATGTTTAGGAAACCTAAGTGTGTCCCCTTTATCCTCCTGGTGGGTGGTAGGGACATGGTCAGTAGAAAAGAATAGCCTGATATATATAAATCAGTAAAATTTGTGGACATGTTACAAGATTAAGGCAAGGCCCCTGATGGAGACTAATGATGGTCTGTTTGCCAAAGCTTGACTTGAATTACCGAAAAGAAACTAAAAAAAGTGCTTATACAAAAGCATCAAATCAAATACAATATATTCCAAATTCAATTTTCAAGTTGTTTGGCCTAACATCCATGTAGCATCATCATCCGTCAAAGTGTAAATTCCTCATTTGATCAACAAAAAGTAGCCCAATTAGTAATGAATCTACCCTTAGTCATATTCATCAAAATTTCACCACCTTCAAATATTTTAGAGCAGACACTGGACAGATCAAATTGGCCGAAACTTTAATACCTCAACACTCAAAAATCTCCAGTTCCTATCAAAGAAAATCAAGAATTATATGACATCAACTGACTCAAATGAAGCACCTGAAATAGATGCAAGAAAGAACTTGCACGTGTAGTTTTAAGATATCCCATAGGGGACTGAAGGTGTCAGGAAGCATTTCATGGGCCAGGCCCCAGGCATGCCCCATTTAAGTTCATGATGAGATAGCCCATAACAGATAGCCCTAGGATTTTGAGCATGCTCAATACCAAGATGATTCTTACAGCACCCAAAGTTGACGAGTTCACAAACGAAAAACAAAGATGAATCGACCACTTTCCTCCCAATACAGGATTGAAGGAGATTTGTTACTTTGCCAATTTAATACTTCAGCATTGATTGTACATAAATTATTAACATTGTATATGTTGTTGTCATATGCCACAACAAAGATCATGGAGGCTACACAATAAGCAATGCTAGAGCCAGAATGGGAGACTTAAATCAGTTAGCAATCGATTTTTCTATTTAACTTCAATTGTTCTGATGTCCTCGCATAGTTAAAAGGACCACTTCAGCAGGCCCATGACAAAATCAGATTTACAAAGATCTTGCACTTAGGCAAGCTCAATATTACAGAAGTAAACAGTTCACCTGGAAGGGGAGAATTTTTTTCTTCTCACGATCAAATGCAACAATTTCACAATCAAGAACAAATGAGGTTACAGACGGCCTTTTAAACCTGCAATAAAACAGCTAAATGTCAGGAAAATTGAGAGAGATTTTCTGGCAGACTTGTAATGTTAGTAGGGAACAACTAGTCATTCTTAAAAATAAGCTCTACTGATATACTCTCATACCCAACTATGTAAATTATGTTTCTGCTCATTAAGAAAGCAATAGACTACAAAAACCCATCATGAGAAGGCCCACCACAGCAGTGAAAGTACAGTGCTAAGCTCAGACAGCCTTACTCAACCAAGTAAAGAGACTCTTCCTGTTCATCAAACCATTAACCAGCTTGTGACGGCATGTTCCAAATCAAAGTTGGAATGGGCTACAATAAAAGTACCTTGAAATTGCATCCACAACATCAGGATACTTTCCAGTGTTTCTTTCTGCATTTCGACTATATATCTCCACTGTACCATCCTCCATGTAGTGAATCTGCAGGACATGGTTAGACAAACACACATCACCAAGACTGTGAAAGGAAAGGCATATAACATAGGCGTCATGTCTAGTTTCTTGCTACCTGAGCACGTTCTCCATCATACTTGTATTCACAGGTGAATTCAATATCCTGAAACTTATCCAATATTTCAGAAACTCCCTTAGTTGGTTTTGCTAGCATAGGTCCAACAGGAACACCAGGTGAAAAGCTACATGTCTTGGGAAGATCCCATACACCATCAGCAAGAAGAGCAGGGATTATTTTATCATAGACTGGAATTACCGAGTAAACTTGTTTCACGATTTTAGCAGCCTGAGGGAAGGAAAGCAATTTCACAACATGTTTATGCAATAAACAAAAAACTCTCTTAAATTTGCACATAGTATTAGCATAATAATAAAATCTAATTAAAAAATTGATTCAAACTCTCTCAGAAGTTTAAATTCATGCCAAGATACCTCTTCTAAAGAAGAATCTATATTTGCAGGAGTTGAAGATTGCTTATCAGCATAAACTGCAGCATGGCCCAAAGCAGCTAACAGAGTTTGCTCAGCTAAACCAATGCGCAGTTTCGCCTGCATGTAGAGTTCAAGAATAATTTTCAGGGATTAAAGGTGCCAATTTGTGATATTAGATCTTCAATTGTCTGACCTGGAGCAGACGAATCAAGTACTGAGGCTCACAATCAGTAGCAGCAACCAGTAGTGCCTTGATATGATTCTTTTTCTTCTCTTGACTATCCTTACCAGATTCCTAATGCAAATCACGTAGAGATACAGTTACAAAACTAAAGAAGTAAACCGTTATGCTCTTCTCTAGATCAATAAATTATAAGTTAATAAACAAGCACCAATTCATGTGCATATCTCGGCAGATTACCCATCATCCCAAAAAAAAAAAAAGCCTCTCTCTCTCCCCCCTGATGTTCAACTTTTCTCACCCGTCTCTCTCTCTGTCGTTTCCTCTGTAATCTTTATCTTACTCTCTCTCTCTCTCTCTCTCTACCTATGCTTCTCTTGCCCACCTCGCAACTTTCACTTTTACCTCCTAACCCATCCTCTCCTCTACCGGTCAGCCCTCCCTTCAACATGCAACGACCATGGAAGCCAAGCTAGAGATAGATAATTGAGGTTTTTTTTTTGTTGGTCTCATGGTAGATCAGCCTTTCCTACATATTAACAGTGTTGTGGGGATGTTGTTGGGAATTCATGATGGATCAAAGTTTTGATTAACAGTTTGTGGTGATTTTGGCGGTTTTGCAGATATATGAAATTTTTAAAAAATAGTATGCTATCATTTGAAATTGGTGGGGATTAGTGGGATGATTCAAAGAGTTGAAAACATTTCTAGTTTGGCAAGAATGGATGTGATGTTAGCGGCTGCTTTTGTTGTTGTTTGTTGTTGGCTGAGTTTTTTTTTTTATTTCGTTGTTGGCTGAGTTCGGTGGCGGTCTAGTTGCAGTCATACAGAGTCCATTTGGGAAGAAAGATAACAAAGTTGGCAAAAGGGGGAAAAGAATTAGCTAGACATACTAAAAAAAAAAAAATTCAGTGGATTCCTATTTCACCACAACAAACCAAACATACGAAAAGAAGTAGCTAAAACCCATTACGATTGAGGACCTTTGATACTCATTGCTATTGCCATTCCAGAATACCAACCAAACAGGTAGTTAGTGTACTCTAGCTCCAAAACATTTCAAAAAATAGATTTCAAGTTTCATGTATGGAAACCAATAAAGGCAGCTATGAATATCTTAAGGAATAAGGCAATCCAGTTTAACTCTCATCTACAGCGAATAAGATCAAAGCTCATCATCCAAGTCCATGAAATGGGAAAATTCAAAGGTACCTTAGCAATAAGGCGAAATGTATCAAAAACTTTAACAACAGTTAGTGCTTCTGGTTTGCGCATTAAAGACTGAGACGAACGGCTTGCTTTTGCAACAAGGCCTAGATCTCCAAGCTCCTGAGGCAAGTCGGATAGTGAAGTAATCATTCAAAATCAAAAAGAAGAAAGAAACTGCGGGCAAAAACTTGCAGGATTTTGATATGTCAGGAGATTCCTGCACACAAATTATTAAGCAAATATAACTAGACTACACCATTCACAAGCTTTGAATGAAATTCTGCTCCTCTAACTACAAAATTTCTTAAAACAAGTGCAGTGTACTCATTGCAGAAAGATCAGCCAGAGCCTTCCATTAAATCAAGCAACTAGAGTCACAGAAGTCAAGTAAATCATAAAGAGAATAAATGATAAATTTTTCTATATCTTTAAGTAGATATCACTACTATAAAACACATTTTGCAAATTGTATCTTAGATCAATTAAAAAAAAAAATTTCCAGACAAGCTACAGCGTACAAAATGTAACAACAACCAACGTACAGCTGCAGCCAAAGAAAGTAACAAGGTAAAACTAAAGCAGCTTCTCAAATTATGCAGTTACTTCGTAGAACCAAAATCGAGCCCAGAACTAAAATCACAGGCAAAGGATCAAATGTTTTTGACATCAACATAGCACCAAAGCTAAATTCAAAATATTCAATTAAATGTGGCATTTGACTGGACAAGCTTTTTTTCTAATCCCATTCTTGATAATTTGTATAAGAACAATAGTGCTTGTACTGAGTTAGTAGATACCTTGCAAACCGAATCAGACAACATAATAATCACCATAGCAGCATTCTACAGCATTGAAGCCACAGCTAGGCAGAGGCCTAAATACAGCGTGGGACTTATGTTTCTTTCTCCTCCCCTATTCTCCATCTCATTTATTAATGTTTTGTAATCAATGAAACAAGGCCAAAAATCTCTAGAATTTCATTTACTAGAACTGAGAACAAGTTACCAGCGATCATTCTGTCATTTCACTTGAAGTACAATTTCTTTAATTTCTTGGCATCAAGTTAAGAAAAGCCAACTCCACAAACAATAATATTCAGAGATAAGAAAAGAAATTCAATCATTTCTAAACCACACCCAAGATTTGATAAACACGAGTGACTGGAATGTAGTAGAGTTTCACCTTGTACTGCTTCTTAATTTGTGCTTCTTTTGTTCCGCACGCCTCGGACAGAGCCTTAATAATCGAAGCATCCCCAATCCCAAGCTCCAATCCTTCATGAGCTGGAGCAATCCGGTTCGCCAAAAGGTAAACAACAGCCACCAAATCCTCTGGCGTCGTTTCCATCACAGTCCTCAACATGTTACAAACAATTGCAGTTATCGCAATCCGCCCTGATTCTTTAGAAATAGCATCCAACGCCTTCGCTACAAACATAAACGGCACCCTTTGTCCCTTTCCCCAATATGCCGCCTTCTTGGGATCAAAACTTGCCGCCTTATCCTTCAACTCAAGAAGGCTCTCATCAGGAGTAATTACCACCTTAGGTTTCTTAACCACCGCTTCCTCACTTTTCCCCAGCTGGGCATCCTTAATCTTGCTCGAAACGTCATTTTTCATATCTTTTTCCAACTGGGCTTCTTTAATTTGAGCTGAATCAGGTTCTTTGACTGAAATCGGAGCAGAATTTTGAGAAGTGATGGTGGGGGTGGTGGTTTTGCGTTTCTTGGGAGATGGTTTTTGTTGTTTCTGCTCGGACTTTTTCTTGCTGGCATTGGACATGAGGAGGTCGAAGGCAGAAGGGCGAGAAGCCATTGCTGCTATTGATCCTGGATTAACTAATGGAATCGAGAGAAAGAGGGATCTCTGAGAGAAGGGTTTTGCGGGGAAGGAAGAATAGATGAGAAAGTAGGGCTTAAAGCCGAGTGGTTTTCTGAGGGGATGAAGCGAAAGAGTGTGGTGGGTAAAGTAGAGTGAAGAAGAGCATGACCTGAATGCGGTGAACATCAGCTGCCGTTTTTCTGCTACCGAGAGGGAGACAACTGACACGGGTTGCTCATTGCTGTTGCGGACGCGGATGGATAGGAGGGAAGAGGAAGGCAAATGGCGGGAAAGGAAATTGAGGGTTTTGTGCACTTGGATTGAAAATTGCCAGAAAAGCCTTTGGAAAAAATTGCTGGGGAAGCCCTTTTTGGTGTTTGGGTGATGAGTTGTCAGCAAAATCTTGAGAAAGGGACTAAGGTTATGTTTGGATTGCATTTTCCGTCATTTTTCATGGAAAAATTTACTGTAGTAATTTGATATATGTAAGGAAAAAAGGTGATAGGAAAATGTAATCACGGAAAACGATAATATTTTTCGATGGAAACAAGCAATCCAAGCATGACGTAAAACTTTCATTTCGTAAGCTAGCAATAGGTGATTTGAAATTTGTGATTTGAAGGTTTGAGATGTACCCCCAAAAAAATAATAACAAAGTCGTAAGCTAGCAATGGGTAGATTAGTGAGTTAGTGGCATATTAGTGGTTTATTATACGTTTTCTTTCACTATGTTCACACTCTGAAGTCTGAATTATTCCAACCCAATTGATGAAAAATGTCTTATAAGTTTAAAAATTTTTAGGACAAGTGCAATATCCATAGTTTATTTTTGTGATATCTCGCAATCGTGGAGTGGAAATGGTATGCATATATGCTTGGGATCGTGAGTTATCAAGTAATTTAGATTAATCATATTTTGTACCGTAATTTCGCTCAAAAGTTAATTAGGCCAACCCGTGGATCAAAAGCGTTACAATTTTGACTTATTTTATTGATTCAAGTTTGTTCAAAAACTTTTTTTGGTAAAAAATTTATGTGACGTGGAAAGATAATTTGGTCAATTCACAAAACCATGTATATTGCACGTGCCAAAATCAACTCGAAAATGGATTATCCAACCCAATTGTAATGATACAATTTGAGAAATTGTAATAACACAAGAGGTGAACTAATTCAATTAGACATTCAAGGGAGTAACGTGAGAGAGAGGCATTTTAAATGAGTTTATTGGGAAAAAATGAGTTTAACTACTTTTATTGGATTTAACTCCTAAAGGAATTTAATTTAGAAAGTTTTGATGATATTCTCTTAACAACATTTGTTAAACTTTTTTTTTTACCTCACATAAACAACATCTAAAAAAATGACTATTATTTTGCTTATATCATAAACACATTTTTCAACATACCTTTTTTATATTCCCAACTGCCTTTTACATTTTACAAATATCAAATCATAAAAAGTACTACATTAATTATTTCAACTAATATCCTATCTAAACATTCCTACTATAAATAATACCCCATTCAAACACATTATAACAGTCATTATGTTTGGATAAGAGATTATTTGAAATAATTACTGTAGCATTTGTAACATTTTTTATAATATGATATATATGAGATAAAAAATGTGGTTGAAAACATAGAAAGATAATTAAAAAACATGTTTGTGATGAAAACAAAGTAATATTTATAAAAAATTTGATAACCAAACACATCAAATAATACTTTTGTATCCTTGACTTTGTATGTGTTTGGATAAGGTATTATTTGACATAATTAATGCAGTACTTCTTATGATGTGAGATATAAAAGTAATTACAGTGATACTTTTGTATAAAAAAATTCTAAAATATGTAACCTAACGAGCTCAAAAGTTGTATGGATTAGTAATAATTAATAAAGGATAAATCCTCAACAAGGGCGTGCAATATATTGAGGGAAACATGCTTCAAACATATGCTTCGCTTTAATGCACCAAATGAGGTTCAAACTCTTGACCTAATGCATGGAATAACTGTAGTCTCGTGGCCACTGAAAACCGAGTGGTTAACACAGTTTAGACATTATGATTCATCCTATTTGGTGGTTTTAATTCCATACACATATTGCAAAACCCGTACATTATAAATGGAGTCAATTTTGAGTTGGACTTATATTACACCAGTATATCACCGTGCAATGCACAGGCGCTGAATATATGAAAAAATTATCAATAGATTAAAGCTGAATTTCAAGAAATAATTGTAAAGAAAAAAAATTATAAGCTTAATAAGACTATTAATTTTTTTTCCTAGTGGGGTAGGGGATGGAATTTAAGAAATAGGGAGGGACGGAACATCTAATTTTAATGGTTTCAATTTTAACCATTAGATTGATGTCTCATTGGTAAGACTGCTGCTTGTAAAAACCAAGTCATAATTAATTGTTATTTAACCAGCTTGAATATGTTAAGTAACTTTGCCAAACTTTGGTCCCGTTTGGTTTCTATTTTTTTGGAGTTTTTATAGAAAAAAATAATGTAGCGATTTGATGCATGCAAGATAAAAGAGTGATTAGCAAATGTGTTTACGAAAAAATAAAAAAATTTTAAAAGAAAATAGCTTTCCAAAATTTTAACCCTCGCACCCATTCATACACTTTTCTACTCCTACGTATCAAGTTCAGAATTCGAACTTTGAACTCGACGACGTTGGTCATTGGACCAATCCCAATGCATAATTTTACCAAACTTACAAAACAAGAAATAAGAAATAAAAACCGACCAAAACTTCTATAAGTATACTGATCATCACAAATAAGATAAAATCTGTTTTGACTTGCCAAACTTAGGTTATTTGCATGAGTTTCTTCATTGTTTTGTCTCATTTTTAAATTTAATAATTGATTTGACTCTTCTGAAGGTCTCTCCACAGTCTCCATGCACGGGGTTGATGGAACAGTTGTTGAATGAGAGCCATTCAAGTCATGTTGTTGATTGGAGTTCCAGAAAAAAAAAAAAAAAAACTCCAAATAAACGGAATAATTAATACACCACCAAATCAATAGTTATATCATATTCTACATGTTCTTTCCTTCTCGAACTAGCTTGCAACTGGTTTTGATACGTCAGGTTTCTTTACAGGGACTAGACTACAACTACTTGTATAGAGGAAGAAACTCCCAAGTTCCTGAGTACACAAATTTCGGATCCCACCAGTGATATTTGTGTTGTTGGTCATGATTATTCATTAGTTTCTTCATATCTTCTCTCCAATGCAGGTCGGTTGGTCAACTGAACATGCTCAATTCTTCAATGATAATTGTTGATGAAAAACTCACAAATTATGCAGAACGATCTGGAGCAGAAGGGCCTGCATTGATTGCTTATCATGAGAATCCACTTCACTTGGGCAGAGAGGGGGTGAGCATGAGAATGGCAGCTAATTTAGTTCCCTTCAAGGCTTCAACTACTTGGTCCACTAATATTGCTGCTGCATATGGAGGTTGAGAAACAGGGATTTCAAGAAAGTGTAGTAAACTTTTTTCATTCTTGTTATGATACTATTATAGTTCTTAAGCCTAAAAAAAGAAGAAGGAAGAGATTCAATTGCAAGTACCCGTTTGAATCATTAAGAAAGAAACTTAACGGAGGTTGATGATCACTCGTTAATACATCTGATTCGTAGTCATTATATATTATTAAAATGCATGCATATACATTTATAATATTTTTTAATTTAATTTCACCCTTTTAAAAAATGTACTATTATATGCGATCTATTTTGGCAGTGTCCACTATATAGCATTAGACAATCAAGCCATATCAGTGTGTTTGGACCGGAGATTATTTGCCCAAATTTATTTGTTTACATCACCATTACAACTTTCAATACATTTTTTTATCTTTTCAATTACTTTTTAATCTCACATACATCACATCATAAAAAGTGTTACAGTAAAAATATCTCAAATAATTTACAATCCAAACACACTTATTGTTTTTTTAATTTTTTTTTTCCAACCAGTAACCGACACACTACTCATTTTCCAAAATCAACTCTTGTAATTCCACCTTCACCTGTAGTTCACGGGCTTCCCATAGAAAATCCATCCTTATTTAGCCCGTGCAGTTTTTGCGGGGAGAGCACCCATCTCCATCTGGTAGGTCAAGACTTGTATAGGATTTAGGCTAATAATTGATGAGTCAACCAAAAAAAAAAAAAAAGAATCTTTACCCCTGAATTTTAAACAAACAAAACATTAAATTATTGAAGACATGACCTCGTGGAAATCTGCTCTTATTAAAATGTTTTGAAATTAACCAAGCAGACAAAAGAAGATTCGGCATTCCAAGAAATACAAAGTTAATTTAGTGTCAGTTAATAAGGGTTGATTTGGTTTCTTTCTCATGTTTGGTGTCCTTCTTCTTCATGCTTCGATTTGGCACCATAAATTACAAAGGAGAGTGACTAAACAATTGACCAAAAGAGAACAGGAGAACAGAATGGAATGTTGACTTGATTTGACTTGACTTTTTTTACGTTTTACTTCAATTACTACAGCCAGTGGTGACCAGCGGCCACAATATTACTTACTAAAGGAAAGCAAGTAGAAAGTAGCAAAGCAACATCAACACGAAAGTCATTTCATCACTCAAACCAAATGCAAACAAACATAATAAAACGCCAAAAAAAAAAAAAGCACAGTAAAAGCCAAGCAGATCCCCCTGGAATCAGCCAAAATAGATCTCTCCCAAAAAGCCAAGGGAACAGCAATGAGGCCGAGCGTTATAAAGAGGGCTAACACTACTAGAAAAGGCCTAGGGCTCTTCTCTTGGGAGAGTATCGACAAGAGTGCATGCTGCGTAACACTACTTTTTTTTTAAATAAGTTGTACTAATTTATTGATAGATTAGCTGTACAGTTTTAAAACACAACAGTGATATTTGTTCATTTACTAAATAATGAGCTACCTGTAACAATAATGAAACACAGCATAATCGGTAACTAACTGTCATGTCATCGAGAGATTAAGACCGCGAATCATTAAAAAAAAAAGGACAAGTGAGAAATTATTATTGATCATTTACATGGCATGTTTTGTATCGTAGATCTTGCAAGTCCCGCATGATTTGGCGCATACCAGCCCATTTTCCCTTTTTGAGACATTACAATAAGAGCTTAAAAAGTTTCATAGATCCTAGCTAGTTTTCTTCTTTCAAATTTTGTAATTTCATAGCTAGATTGAGCTTTTAAATTCATAAACGCAAGTTGTAGTTGTGTTATTGTCACCATTATTAGAGCATCTATCTTGATTTTATTAAGTAACAAGGCAAATATCGAGCTAGATA